TTACCTACCTTAGAAAGGATGGAAGGCTGAGTCAACCTTGAGCCTGGCAAGATTCGAACTTACTAATTGCAGACAGTTGGAGTTAAATTACAATGCATTAGTCTGCTGAGCTATCCAGGCTCTAATTGGATCTTCACACGTGGACCTCATCTTTTGTGCCTGACAGATCTCAAGGAACTGAAATGATTTTTTGTTCAATAAGCTACTCGTCCAATGATAGATAGTTCCTGAAAACAGACAAATGAGTCTTAATAGGCATAATAAGTCATAGCTCTGTCTGACCCATCAGTCAGAGGGACCCATAATCAGCCATAATCTCCCAATGGCCTAATGTTCTTAACAGCACATTATCTTCTCATGATCATATCTTCAAAGTATTAGACCAAAACATCACATGGAAAATGGAGGGTGAAGCTGAATTCAAAACCTTGAATTGAATCTTCCATTTTTCATCCAATTTTTCATCTGTCTATAGAACATCTTAACAAGGGATAACCATTGTTGTCTACGACCCATAATTGCAGCCATAAATTAATCTGGTCGATATGATCCAATTGACATCTTTCTGATTGATTTGGGGATGGTAAAACTGTACGTTGTTCTGTTACTCCTTTGAGGTGATACTACCTGAAAAAATTATTATTATTATTCCTCGTCATCATGAAATGAGAAACAAGATAAAACAAATAAGTCAGGGGTCAGCAACCTGCGGCTCTGGAGCCGCATGTGGCTCTTTCATCCCTCTGCTGCGGCTCCCTGTTGCCGGTTGGCTCCACAATTGATAGGGCTTTCGGTTAGGATAGGTAGAGGAAAAAGGATGCCTCGCTAGGGGGAAACTCTATGGTGGGGGAACTGGACATCCGGTTGGCAGAGGAAAAAGGACGCCATGCTAGGAGGAGACTCTATGGTGGGGGAACCGGACTTCCGGTTGGCTCCACAATTGAATGGGAGGCTTCCGGTTAGGACCGTTGTGGCTCTTTGAGTGTTTAAGGTTGCCGACCCCTGGTCTAAGTGATACATCAATTTGATTGAGGCAATAGTAAAATACATAGTCGGGTTTAGTCTGATTTAGTTTAGTTTAATCTTAGTTTCCTGTTTTAACTTGGAGCCTTCTTTCTTAACCTCCGTTTCTGTAAGAATCTTTCCTGTTACGCAGGGAATGGAAGAATTGTAATTATTAAAAGAATTGTAAAAATGTAAGAATGTAATTATGTTAAGAATGCATATCAATCATCTCATTAAGTAGTTTCCCCCTTCCCTCCCTGCTCTTTGCTTATTTGTTTCAGGGAAGAGATTTGCTGGAATAGTCTTTGCATTAACCTTTTACTTTCAGAAGACATTATTGCTTTCTTTGACTTTTGAATTACTTTCCACAAATTCTGGAAATGTAATTTGGTAGTCTCTGCCAAAACAGCTGATCTGTCTTACTGTGAAAGACCTGGTGAAAATTCATACTCTGCTTGCCCAAAATCTTCTCCATAGAAGCATTGCTTCGAAGCAGAGCTGGGATCCTAAGGAAATTATATTGCAATAGTGAAATCGCTAATCTCCATTTTGTTTCAATCTTGTTTTCACCGAGTGGTTAAAAAATGTTACTTAATTGGAGAGGGGGGTGGGAAGGAATTGCATTCTGTTGCAAATTGGATTCTGTTTTAAATTGGACGTTGTATCCAGAGGTGGAATCCAGCCAGTTCGGACCAGTTCACCCGAACCGGTAGCAGAAATCGCAGGTGGGCCCACCCACTTGCCCCGGCTCTATGTCATCCTATTTAGGTACATTTTTCAGGCCAAGCACATGTGCAGAAGGCAGGCGCACATGCGAACTGGGCGTACGTGTGCAAGAAGCGAGCATGTGCACGTGGGGCGAACTGGTAGTAACATAATGTGAAAACATCCTCTCTCTTTCCTTCAACCTAGCCTTCACTGGTTTTATGTGCCACGAAGTGCCAATTTTTAAAACACTGATGGGAGTTATACACTGTTCTTCCCCAGCTACGGACCACAAAGAACGCAGCACACACGAAGTCTGTACAAACCTTAGTTTACTAATTAAGGACTACTACTTAGTAGTTGTTCAAACACAAGTACAGTTTAAATCAGTCTTTTCTGAACAAGGGCTGTTAATTTAACTTCATTAACAGCCGACAAGAGTCCAAGGAATAATAACTTAATTCTGAGGCACAGTCTTTCAAAAAACCGTAATCTTACTGTGGTTGGCAGAATGCCCAGAAGCAATTTGCAGGAAAAATGACAAGAGAGAAGCAAGAGCCGATCAGACATTTCTGGAGTCAATACACGAAGGAATATGAACGAAGTTGTTTTCTGCAAATTGCCTCGGTCGTCGTCATTCCTTAAATAGGCTAGGGGAGTGGCCAATTAGCTCCAAGCCTTACTCTCGAGGAGACCTCCTCCTGAGGAGCGATTCCTGCCTTTTGGTAGCTCTGCGCGCCCATTCATTGAGAAGAGGCTCCTCCTCTTCTTCCTCTTCACTTATGGGAGCTTCTGGAGGTTCTGAAGGCCCTGGCTGAATCCCCGCCTCTGGCACCAAATCTTCTCCGGCCTCCTCATTGTCTGACTTGGGTGCCAGCTGCACAGGCTGCTGGCGAATCACCACACCAGCCTCCTCACTGTCACTGTCAGAATCAGTGAGCTGCACAGGCCGCTGGCGGGCCACAACATACTCCAAAATACCAAGTTTCCAATCTCTGTCTAAGCCCTTCCTTGTCAGGTGTGAAGAATCAGGACCACGTGTTAAATTCCAGTTATTGCTCAAGCTATACATTGGAACCTAGTCAACTAATGGGTCAACATAAAATTAGCGCTAGGTAAGAGTTAATGAAATTCAAGAGGGGCAAGACCTGGCTTGCTTATGGCAGGGGTGTCAAACTCAAGGCCCAGGGGCCAGATCTGGCCTGTCAGACCCTCACTGGAAATAGCAAAGCCCACTGTGCCTCTGCCAGCGAAAACGGAGCTCGGGAGGGCTGCACGCGGCCCCTTCTCGGAGTTGGTTTTTGCTGGCAAAAGGCTATTGAAGCAAACTAAAAACAAAACAAAAGGAGAAATGTTTCCCCTTTTGCATTTGAGCATGCAAGAAGGGACAGGAGAGGAGAAAGGGAAAGAGGGAAGGCAAAGAATACAATGGGAAGAGAGCAAGGAAGGAAAAATGAGGAAAGAGGGGAAGGAAGTTGAGAAAGGAGAATGACAAGGGAAGGGAAAAGATGAGGAAGGGAAGGGAAGGGAGGGAGGGAGGGAGGGGGAGGGAGGGAGGGAGGAAGGAAGGAAGGAAGGAGATCATAATGAGAGTGAGGGAGGGTCTGAGGGAAGTCCTGCCTAGCACTTGCACCACAGGTGCCCCCAACACAAGTGATGTCGAGTTGGCAATGCACCCTGGCCATGAGAAGTGATATGGAAGGAAGGAAGGGAAGGGAAGGGAAGGGAAGGGAGGGAGGGAGGGAGGGAGGGAGGAAGGAAGGAAGGAAGGAAGGAAGGAAGGAAGGAAGGAAGGAAGAAAGAGAGGAGGGAGGAAGGAATGATGAATGAGAGTGAGGGGTGATGAGGGAAGTCCTGCCTAGCACTTGGCCACCACAGGTGCCCCCAACACAAGTGATGTCGAGTTGGCAATGCCCACCCTGGCCATGAGAAGTGATATGGAAGGAAGGACGGGAAGGGAAGGGAAGGGAAGGGAAGGGAAGGAGGGAGGGAGGGAGGGAGGAGGGAGGGAGGAAGGAAGGAAGGAAGGAAGGAAGGAAGGAAGGAAGGAAGGAAGGAAGGAAGGAAAGGAAGGAAGGAGATTATAATGAGAGTGAGGGAGGGTCTGAGGGAAGTTCTGCCTTAGGACTTGGCCACCACAGGTGCCCCCAACACGAGATGATGTTGAGTTGGCCATGCCTACCCCGGCCATGAGAAGTGATATGTCTTCAAAGAAAAACAAAGGAAGTCCAAGTTGCCTCTTGAAAAAGAACCTTTGGGACAACTGCAACCTGGATGACTGAGAATCTCCATAGATGTTGAGAATTGTAGTGCAGCAGAACCTGGAGCACCACCACAGGTTCCCATCTAAGAGTTAGAACTTAAATTGGCTGTTACTAGACACACAAGACTCCTGCGAGTCCCTTGGACTGCAGGGCGATCCAACCGGTCAGTCCTAGAGGAGATCAACCCTGACTGCTCTTTAGAAGGCCAGATCCTGAAGAGGAAACTCAAATACTTTGGCCACCTAATGAGAAGGAAGGACTCACTGGAGAAGAGCCTAATGCTGGGAACGATTGAGGGCCAAAGAAGAAGGGGATGGCAGAGAATGAGGCGGCTGGGTGGAATCACTGAAGCAGTCAGTGCTTAAATGGACTCCAGAGGATGGTAGAAGATAGGAAGGCCTGGAGGAACATTGTCCATGGGGTCACGATGGGTCGGACACGACTTCTCAACAAATAACAACAAAAATTTGCGGGACCGCCTTCTGCCGCTGATAGCCTCCCACCGACCAGTACGCACCCACAGAGAGGGACTCCTCAGGGTGCCGTCAGCCAGGCAATGTCAACTGGCGACTCCCAGGGGGAGGGCCTTCTCTTTGGCAGCTCCTGCCCTCTGGAACGATTTGCCCCCGGAGATAAAAAGGATATCGGATCTCCGGGTCTTTCGCCATGCCCTAAAAACTTTTCTTTTCCATCAAGCAAGGCTGGCGTGAAACCCCCCCCCCCTTTTTTTTAGCCTTTTAAATTGTCAATGGGTTTTAGTTTGAATGTTTTAAAATTTTGGGCCAAAGTCATATAATTCTTTTAAAAATTTTAAATTTTGTATTGGCATGTGTTTTAGTTCTGGCTGTGCACCACCCTGAGTCCACTAGGAGAAGGGCGGGATACAAATTGAATAAAATAAATAAAATAAAATAAAATAAAAAGACACATCAGCTTCTGCACTGCCTTCATCTGTCTTGGTTTTAAGATTGTAAAAAATGAGGCCAGTAATTTTCTTCTTCTATTTCTGCTTTCCTACCCACCTAGGTGTCTCAGTGAGCGTGTCAACTTTTACCCTGGTGGCCATCTCTCTTGAGAGGTACAGTGCCATATGCAAACCCCTACAGTCTCGGGTCTGGCAGACCAAATCCCACGCCCTGAAGGTAATTGCGGCCATATGGGGCCTGTCTTTTGTCATCATGACGCCATACCCAATTTACAGCACCCTGGTGCCCTCAGCGCGTCCTAACAGCACCACATCCAAGTGTCGTACTAATTGGCCAAGCACAGTGATCGAGCAGTCCTGGTAAGAGTGGAGCACATTGATCCTTGTTTTTTTGAAGGCATTTGTCTTAATCTATCCAATTATGGAAAGCGCAATGATTTGTGATTTCGGTGGAACCAAAATAAGTGTAATTTATTTATTTATTTGTTTGTTTGTTTTAATTTGTATACCGCCCTTCTCCAGCGGGACTCGGGGCAGTGAACAGCCAGAATAAAAACAGAACATACAAAATTTAAAAACAGTTTAAAAAATAATTAAATATTTTTGGCCACAATTTAAAACAACCCAATTAAAATCAATTCAATTTAACCGAAACGGATGGGATCAAGCCAGCCCGGCTATGTGAAATAAATAAGTTTTCAGGGCCCGACGAAAAGTCCGGAGGTCTGGTATTGTGCGTATCTCTGGGGGGAGGTTGTTCCAGAGGGCGGGCGCCGCCACAGAGAAGGGTCTCCCCCTGGGGGTCGCCAGCCGACATTGTCTGGCGGACGGCACCCTGAGGAGGCCCTCTCTGTGCAAGCGTACTGGCCGGTGGGAGGCTATTGGTGGCAGAAGGCGGTCTCGTAGATACCCCGGCCCTAAGCCACGGAGCGCTTTAACACCTTGAAGCGCACCCGGAAGACCACCGGGAGCCAGTGCAGCTTGCGCAGGAGAGGTGTCACATGGGACCGCCCCGTCGCTCCCATAATCCTCCACGTGGCCACATTCTGGACCAGCTGGAGCCTCCGGGTGCACCCCAGGGGGAGCCCCATGTAGAGAGCATTGCAGTAGTCCAGGCGGGAGGTGACGAGCGCCTGAGTGACCTTTCGTAGGAAGGCCCGATCCAGAAAGGGACGCAACTGGCGTATCAGGCGAACCTGATAAAAAGCCCCCCTGGCCACAGCCGTCATACCATTGCAATAACAGTTGATGTCTTGATTACAACATTAACTGTATAACTACAGCACAATGTTGCACATAAGTAGTAATCAATTATTCTCTCTCTCTCTCTTTCTCTCTCTCTCTCTCTCTCTCTCTCTCTCTCACACACACACACACACACCCTTCCACACCAGGGGTGAAATGCTCCCGGTTCGGACCGGATCGGCCGATCCGGTAGTGATGCGGCAGGTGGTTCGGAGAACCGGAAGCAAAAATCCCTGCCCCCCACCCACCCACCCACCCATGCCCACCCAATCGCCCGGTCGCCTGCTTGCCTGCTTGCCACTTCTTTTAAAAAATGCTTTTAAAAGGTTAAAAAAAGGCTGGGACGATCAGAAGCTGAGCTGCCTGATCGTCGGAGCCTTTTTTTGTTTACTTTTAAAAGCATTATTTTTAGGTTGTAAAAAAAATGCTTTTAAAAGTAAAAAAAAAGATTGCGCGCCAGAGCTGATCACCCATGCACTGTTCTATTTACCCCATGCCTCCTTTTGGCATGCACTGTGCACGCCCCCACGTGCACCTTGCATTTGGTGCGTGGTGTGCACTGTGCACGCACATGCTGAGTGTGCATGCACAGCCAGAGAACCGGTAGTAAACCAGTTCAGATTTTACAAACATTCATTACCAAGAGCCTTGGTGGTGCAGTGGACTAAAGTGCTGTTAAGTAGCACTTAGCTGCCAGCTGCCTGCAATTACTGCGAGTTCAAATCTCACCAGGCTCAAGGTTGACTCAGCCTTCCATCCTTCCGAGGTAAGTAAAATGAGGACCCGGATTGTGGGGGCAATAAGCTGACTTTGTATAAAAAGGAACACCGCTTAGGGGGGGCCAAAAAGCCCTACTAAGCAGGTATATACAAAAGTATGAAGGCTATTGATTAACGCATTGTTAGGATAACTGTATTTATCATCTATCGATGAAGATTCTCTGTCATCCAGGTAGAGTTGTCTGGAAGTTGAGTCATGGCAAATGGACTTCTTTTCTTTTGTTGGTTCAAAAATGTTTCACAGCTTCTCCAAGTAGTTTTTTCAATCAGAGCAAATTGGTTAGAGGGAACCAGAGGCTTGTATTCAGCCGGTTCAGACCAGTTCGCCCGAACCGGTAGTGGAAATCGCGGATGGCTCTATGCCATCCTATTTAGGCATGTTTTTGAGGCTGGATTCGTGCATGGCAGGTGCGCGTGCAAGCAAAGCGCCTGCGAGGAAAGCTGGGCACATTTGTGGAAGGCAGGTGCATGCGCAAACCGGGCGCATGTGGCCACAAACCGGACATGCGCACACGCAGCGAACCAGTAGCAGGGATAGGTTCTACTTACCTTTATTACCAGTTCGCAACGGGGCCGCGTGCACACTCACTTCGCTCATGTGCACGCACGCTCTTCTGCACATACGGAGAAGCGTTTTCATGACGTCAGGGTCAGTGGGCACAGCCTCCCGCCGGTTTTACTACCGGTTCTATAGAACCGGTGCGAACCGGGGGCAACCCACCACTGACTGGTAGTAACATAATGTGAAACCTGAAACCTGGAGAGAACCCCAGGGTGGTTGCATTTCTCGCCTAATCCGAACACGCTTGTTAGGTGAGTAGGCAGAGTGCTAAGAGTGTTAAATTTGGCCTCCCTGGAGAACATGTGAAGTGGTGTTGACCTTCCTGGGCATTGATGCAAGAGCAGCATTTAAAAACAGGGAACAGATTGTGTTTGAGGCCTTCCTCTCTATTCACTTAAAAGAAATCAGACACTCTTTTGAGGATCACGGAGTTCACATTTTGGATAGAGTAGATCAGGGGTGTCAAACTCAATTTCATTGAGGGCCGCATCAGGGTTGTGTTTGACATTGGAGGCCGGGTGGGCAGTGTGGGCATGGCAAGATTGACGTCACTTGTGTTGGGGGCACCTGTGGCGGTCCGAGGGCTCTGCCACCAAAATCGGAGCTCAGGAGGGCAAACGTGATGGCCTTCTGCAACCCTCTGACAGCGAAAACGGAGCTCAGGAGGGCCGCGTGCAGTGTCAGGGGGTTGCAGGAGGCCATCACACGGCCCTCCCGAGCTCCATTTTTGCTGGCAGAAGGTTGCAGGAGACTGTTGTAGTCTCCTGAGCTCGGTTTTCACTGGCAGAGGCACCGCGGGCTGGTCCTTTGCTGTTTCCTGAGCGACGGCGCAGGCCAGATCTAAGGACCCTGTGGTCTTGATCTGGCCCACGGCAGTGGCGGGTTGCCCCCGGTTCGGACCGGTTCGCAAGAACTGGTAGTAAAACTGGTGGGAGGCCCCGTCCACCGCCCCGGATGTCGTCATTGACGATTTGCGCATGCGCGATCCCATTACGAACCGGTAGTAAAGGTAAGTAGAACCCACCCCTGGCACGCGGGCCTCGAGTTTGACACATATAGTAGATAGATGGCCTGAGAGAGGAGTGAAGGAATCCATTTAAGGTAGTAAAGCCTTCACTCAGTGGTGGTGGACATATCTGGGGAACCTCTTGTCAACTGGCTAAGACCGAAGAAGCTACTTGGATAAGCAGCAAAAAACCTTTCGAACCAAAAAAGAAAAGAAAATCATGTATTTATCAATCATCATGCATTTATAATAACTTTTAAAAATCACACATGTTCTAGCATTCGTTTGACTGTATTCTGATTTATTTATCCCTAAAATGAAGTCCATGAAGACCTCCCATCTCAAAGAGAAATATCCGCACCTAAAATTACTACTCTCGTTTTTAAAACACAGTCTAGTGGTGGTAGAGGCTTGTTGGGAATCGGGTTTGCTGAGAGGCGGGTAGGAAAATGTGATATTTTTTTTTCCTGGTGATCTAAATCTTGCTTGTGGCTTTCCCAGGTATATTTTGCAACTCCTCATCCTTTTCCTTATCCCGGGGATCGTAATGATGATAGCGTATGGATTAATCTCCCTGGAGCTCTATAGAGGGATAAAATTTGATGCGAGCAACAGAAAATCTTCTCGAGGTAATCTGGACAACTGAACTGATCCATTTGCTTTCTGTCTTAGTGGCTTGTCATGTTCAAGCACAAATAGTGATATGTCTATATCTATGTATCTCTATCTACCTCTCCCTCCCTCTCTCTCTCTCTCTCTCTCTCTCTATCTATCTATCTATCTATCTATCTATCTATCTGCTATCTATCATCTATCAATCTATCTCTATCTATCTATGCTATCTCTCTCTCTCATCTATCTTATCTATATCTATCTATCTATCAATATATCAATATATCAATCTTCTATCTATCTATCTGCTATCTCGCTCTCTCTATCTCTCTCTCTCATCTATCTTATCTATATCTATCTATCAATCTATCAATCTATCAATCTATCTTCTATCTCTATCTATCTATGCTATCTCTCTATCTCTCTATATATATATCATCTATCTTATCTATATCTATCTATCTATCTATCTATCTATCTATCTATCTATCTATCTATCTATCTCTATCCAGCTATGCTATCTCTCTCTCTCTCTCTCATCTCTTATCTATATCTATCTATCAATCTATCAATCTATCAATCTATCAATCTAGCAATCTAGCAATCTATCTTCTATCTCTATCTATCTATCTATCTATCTATCTATCTTCTATCTATCTATCATCTCTCTATCTCTCTATCTATCTCAATCTATCATTGATCATCTATATTTATCTATCTATCTATCTATCATCTATCTATGTATCTATCTATCTATCAATATCAATTTATCAATCTATCTTCTATCTCTATCTATCTATCTATCTATCTAATCTATCAATCTATCAATCTATCTTCTATCTCTATCTATCTATCTATCTCTCTATCTCAATCTATCATCGATCTTATCTATATTTATTTATCTATCTATCTAATCTATCAATCTATCAATCAATCTATCTTCTATCTCTATCTATCTATCTATCTATCTATCTATCTATCTATCTATCTATCTGCTCTCTCTCTCTCTCTCTCTCGCTCTCTCTCTCTCTCTCTCTCTCTCTCTCATCTATCTTATCTATATCTATCTGTCTGCCTATCTATCTATCTATCTATCTATCTATCTATCTATCTATCTCTCTATCTATCTATCTCTCTGGGTGACTTTGGGCCAATCACCAGGAGACTGGGAGTTCTAGTCCACTTTTAGGCATCAAAGCCAGCTGGGTGACTTTGGGCCAATCACCAGGAGATTGGGAGTTCTAGTCCAGCCTTAGCCATGAAAGCCAGTTGGGTGACTTTGGCCAATCACCAGGAGACTGGGAGTTCTAGTCCAGCCTTAGCCATGAAAGCCAGTTGGGTGACTTTGGGCCAATCCACCAGGAGACTGGGAGTTCTAGTCCAGCCTTAGCCATGAAAGCCAGGTGGGTGACTTTGGGCCAGTCACTCTCTCTCAGCCCAACTCACCTCACACGATTGTTGCGGTGGGAGAAAATAGGAGGAGGAAGGAGTATTGTGTACCTTCACCACCTTGAATGATTTGTAAAAAAAAATAATGAAGGTGGGATGCAAATAAGTCAAAATAAAACAAAGTTTTAAGTTCACCCCACGAGAATGACATTTTAGGGAAACCCCCGATTGTGAAGGAGGGAGGGGAGATGCCGTGGGAAGGATTACGGTTGGAAGCTAAGAGGCCAAATTGTTTCGAACGCTTAATGAGGGTCGGTCTCATCGATCCCGCTTTCCACCTGCAGAAAGGAAAGCTAGTGAGAGCAGCAGAGGCAGGTACGACGATGGGGATGGTTGCTACTTGAAGAAGAACAAGAAGCAGCAGCAGCAGATTCCCCTACGTCAACTTTCGTCCATCAGCTCCTGCAGCAACAACCAGAAGGTTGACCGTCCAAGGAGCAGCTCTTCCTCAGCCAACCTGATGGCCAAGAAGCTAGTCATCCGAATGCTGATTGTGATCGTGATCTTATTCTTCATCTGTTGGATGCCCATCTTCAGCGTCAACACCTGGAGGGCCTTTGACTCCATTTCTGCTCACCTCCTCCTCTCGGGAACTCCCATCTCGTTCATCCATTTGCTCTCCTACATCTCCGCCTGCGTGAATCCGATCGTCTATTGCTTCATGAATAAGCGTTTCCGCCTGGGTTTTCTTGCCACCTTCGCTTGCTGCGCCAAGCCACGCCCCCCAGTGGCCCGAGCGGAGATGGGAGAGGACGAGGAAGGAAAGACAACCAGAGCATCCTTCTCCAGGTATTCTTACACCCACATGAACATGGCTGTCCCTCTATGATTGGCAAGCCAGGAGAAGAAGAACATTGTAAGCGTTGCAACTCCTACCTTCACCCGCGTGCATCAAGCCCATCTAAAAATAGTTTGGTACTTTAGGATTTCTTGCTTAAGCTGGGATTTGGACTAAAAGACCTCTAGAGTCCCTTCCAATTCTGTTATTCTGTTATTACCATGTTTTCCCGAAAATAAGACTCTGTCTTATATTTTTTTGAACCCTGAAATAAGCGCTTGGCCTTATTTTCGGGGAGGTCTTATTATTTTGGGGCGCGTGGAGCAAGACGGGGCTCCTCTTGCCATCTTACCTGATTTCCAGCTCTGTCTCCCTAACCCTAACCAGAGGAAATGGTGGGGACTGGCTGCACATGTGTTTAAATATTTTCGGGGAGGGCTTACTTTCAGGGGGCGGCATATTTTAACGCATGCGCTCAAAAGCGCGATCGGGCTTATCATCAGGGGATGTCTTATTTTCAGGGAAACAGGATATTTCAAAGACAATTGGGAGAGATAGGACTGGGAGATGAACAGCATACTCATCGATCAAAGATCTCTCCCCGTAGGATCCTTCAAAGGCCAGTTCAATAAATCCAGAGTCGTATTGCCATAATCTGTGACAAAATACCCATCAGAGAAAGGGTAAAATTCATCCATACTTTTCTTTCCTAATTCATTTTGCAGCTGGGCTTCAGTGCCTCCAAATTAACTACGTGAAGATAATGGAAGGCAAACATTTAAAAAATGCCATAGCTGTTTGGGAAAGTAAAGAGTTTCATGTTTGGGGAATAAACAATGAAGTCCCCAAGTGTCTCACCGTAGCTCCATTTTTGTCAGAGTTTCTTGCAAAAATCAAATCCAGAAGCACACAGAGATAATTGATTCAAGCAGGATTCATTAAATAAGAAACATCTTTATATACAAGGCTATATATACAATACCTATTTAGATTCTTCTTCAACGTAGTAGCAGTTCAACACAAGGCAGGAGAGAACAGTTAGTTTCATTTCAGCAGAGCAGACCAGCAGACAAGTTCACACTCCGGTTTCAGTTTCAATTCTCTGCACAGACTCAAAAGCTGCAGACTAAGACACGCCCTGGCTCCAATCTGTCTCAGCTCCCAATTGGCTGACTTAGTTGCTATGCTTATTCATTAGCTGACCTTGTTACCATGTCTCCATTTAGTCTCCATTGGCTGATCTATTCTAATCCATGAATATTCATACTCTGACAATTTTTCGATGACAATTTAATGTACTTTCGATTCAGAGCAGTGGTGGAACAAGGAACTGATTTGACTGTAATGTTTTATTCTTCTCTAGCCAACACCATCTCGCAAGATCTTCTAGGTCAGTTCAAGAGAACCCACCATCAATACACAAGAATAATCCCCTCACCTTTGGTACACCAAAATGATGCACCAAGAACCAGTGTTCATACATAAAGGTAGTCCTTGACTTGCGACCATAATGGAGCCCAACATTTCAGTCGTTAAGTGAGATGTTTGTTAACTGAGTTTCGCCCCATTTTATGACCTTTCTTGCCACACTTGTTAAGTGAATCAATGCAGTGGATAAGTTAGTAACCTGGTTGTTAAGTGAATCCGGCTTCCCCGATGACTTCGCTTGTCAGAAGGTCACAAAACGGGACCATGTCTTGGGGTCATGAGATCCCCTTTCCTATATTATAAATATAAATATGAACCAATTGCCAAGCATCTGAATTTTGATCACAGGATCATGGGGATGCTGCTAAGGTCATAACTGTGAAAAACAGTCATAAGTCACATTTCCGGTGCCGTTGTAACTTTGAACGGTCACTAAATCAACCGTTGTAAGTCAAGGACTACCTGTACTGCCTATTGATAGGAAAGCTTTATTAGCTAGCCTAGCTGAGAGCTGTTGATATTCCTTTTTTCTGATACGTGGTAGATTGCAACTTTTATGGCCTTTCGGCCTACATGGAGCATGGAGAGAGAAACATTAACCTTGGTTGATACCAGTGGTGGGTTTCAAAAAATGTTACTACTGGTTCTGTGGGCGTGGCATGGTTTGGTGGGCGTGGCTTGGTGGGCATGGCAGGGGAAGGATACTGTAAAATCTCCATTCCCTCCCCACTCCAGGGGAAGGATACTGCAAAATCCCCATTTCCTCCCGATCAGCTGGGACTCGGGAGGCAGGGAATAGATGGGGGCGGGGCCAGTCAGAGGTGGTATTTACCGGTTCTCCGAACTACTCAAAATTTCCGCTACCGGTTCTTCAGAACTGGTCAGAACCTGCTGAAACCCACCTCTGGTTGATACCTATAGTTTTAGATTCCAGGATTGGGATCTTCTCCCACGTTTTTGTCAGATTCACTAGTGTTTTTACTGTCCCAAAGATGTTTTTCCAAAAGGCAACTGGACTTTCTTGGGGGGTTTTTTCCCTCAGAAACATTTCGCTTCCCATCCAAGAACTGTCTTCAGTCCTGAAGAATTGAAGAAGCTTCTTGGATGAGAAGTGAATCATTTTCAAGGACCCCCACCCCCCTCAAAATAGTCCAGTCCCCTTTTAGAAAACGACCTTAGTGACAATTATGACTGGATGATTGATATAGAAGAATTAGGGGTGACGTGATAGCAGTGCTTCAGTATTTGAGGGGCTGCCATAAAGAAGAGGGAGTCAAGCTATTCTCCAAAGCACCTGAGGGCAGGACAAGAAGCAATGGATGGAAACTAACCAAGGAGAGAAGCAACTTAGAACTAAGGAGAAATTTCCTGACAGTTAGAACAATTAATCAGTGGAACAACTTGCCTCCGGAAGTTGTGAATGCTCCAACACTGGAAGTTTTTAAGAAGATGTTGGATCAAATTTATCTGAAGTGGTGTAGAGTTTCCTGCCTAAGCAGGGGGTTGGACTAGAAGACCTCCAAAGTCCCTTCCAACTCTGATATTCTATTGTCTATTCTATTTCTATTCTTTTTTTTTTACCCAACCTCTTGGGGAGGCGTGTGTCTGTGATAATTATGCTTATTATTTTATTTTTATCCCATAATTTATCTGGCAAAAAAATCATGATGGGGTATATTAAATACAGAATATATAAAAAAAAACAAAAACAAGATGACGATGGGAATAATTATAGATGCCAAAGAAGGACATGAGAAATTTAAGGACCCTGGTGGCGCAGCAGACTAAAGCACTGTTATTAACATCAGCTGCCTGCAATTACTGCAAGTTCAAATCTCACCAGGCTCAAGGTTGACTCAGCCTTCCATCCTTTCAAAGTGTAGGTAAAATGAGGACCCAGTTTGTGGGGGCAATAAGCTTACTTTGTATAAATATACAAAAGGATGAAGGCTATTGCTTAACGCATTGTAAGCCGCCCTGAGTCTCCGGAGAAGGGCGGCATATAAATAAAAAAAAATTTTTTTTTAAAAAAAAGGACCCAGCTGGCTGTTTAGGAAGATCTGATGGGAACTGAGCAAATTCAGGTCATCATAAATTGTCCGAGTGAAGGCACAACGTAGGCAGTTGATGAAGGAAAGGAAGAAAGAATTAATGGGGGGTGGGAGAATGGCAATAGAGGGACATCTGAGAACATCTAACTTAGCTGGAGAAAATTATTTCCTGGGGGCTTTTGATGATTTGAGAATTCATTCCACAAAACCGAAACCCAGCCGAAAATCCATCTTCTTTCTTGAATTACGGACAGGTGCTTTAATTCAGCGCTACAAAATATCAGTAAGAATCAAAGGTGGGTTTTTTTAAAAAAAGCACTTAAAAATAAACGATAGCCATTTTGGTTCCCTGAGTGTGGAGTGGGGCAAATCTATACCTAAGTGATACCTTTATTATCAATGTAAGTATTCCATTGAGTTCAACCTTTTGGCAATGGGATCGATGTCTACTTAGAATGTATTTTGCCTTCCCAGCTAATCAGATTTCCAACTGGTCTCTCATCTACAGATAAACCCTGCTTACTTTTCTCAGATCGATTGGATTTCAGTTTTCACATTCCGGCAGAAATATTAACACGGGAAGATGAATTTCAAATACATGGAATTGCCGATAAAACCAAGGAAAACGACCTTCGCGCAGATAAAAGAAAGTGCTTTCTCTATACAGGTTAATGCTAAGAGCCGAGGTGGCGCAGTGGTTAGAGTGCTGTACTGCAGCTACTTCAGCTGACTGCTAGTTCAGCAGATCAGCAGATCAAATCTCACCGGCTCAAGGTTGACTCAGCCTCCCATCCTTCCGAGGTGGGTAAAATGAGGACCCAGATTGTTGGCGGCAATATGCTATTTAGTATACTGTCGATTGTTGTAAGCCGCCCAGAGTCCTCGGAGAGTGGGCGGCATAGAAATATGATTAATAAAATAAATAAAATAAAATAAATGAAGTTATTGAATCCCCTATCGCAAGATGAATCAGAATAGAGCTGGAAGGCAGCTTCGATGTCTTCTAGGCCAACCCCCAGCTCAAGCGGGAGACCCTACACCCATGATGGCAAACCTATGGCATGTGTGCCATAGGTGGCACGTGGAGCCATATCTGTGGGCACGCAAGCTTTGCCCTAGCTTAGGTCCAGCTTGCATGTGTGCGCCAGCCAGCTGATTTTCGGGCCTTCCGGGTCCCCTAGAAGTCGAGAAACGGGCTGTTTCCAGCCTCCAGAGAGCCTCCGGGGAGTGGGGAAGGCTGTTTTTGCCCTCCCCAGGCTCCAAGAAAGTCTCTGGAGGGCGGAAAACAGGCCTACTGGGCCCACCGGTAACCTTTTTGCCATTATGTGCCAAAAGTGGGGGGAGCATGGGGGGGGTCGCGCACACATGTGTGGGGGGCATTGAATTATGGGTGTGGGCACGTGCGCGACCCCCCCCCGCAACCCCCGCTTTTGGCACATGATGACAAAAAGGTTCGCCATCACTGCCCTACACCATTTCAGACCAATGACTGTCCAGTCTCTTCTTAAAAACCTCTAGTGATGAGGCACCCACAATTTCTGGTGGCAAGCTGTTCCCCTGGTAAAATAGTCCTCACTGTTAGGAAGTTTCTCCTCAATTCCAGGTTGCTTCTCTCCTTGATTAGTTTCCCTCCGTAGTTTCTTGTCCTGCCCTCTGGTACTTTGGAAAATAAGTTGACCCTCTCCTCTTTGTGGCAGTCCCTCAAATACTGGAATACTACCCACTAGTGTCACCCACTAGTCCTTCTTTTCTCTAGATTGGCCATACCCAGTTCCTGCAACGAAAATAAAAGCATTAACTGAAATAGAGCCTGGGAGTACAGCGGCTGTTAGCCATTCAGCAAATTGGTTCAGATAAGCCATATCCCTAAGGTAGATCTGGAAAAATGTAAAATGTTGGAAGAAAGAGATGCCAGGCCGCCGAGAGGTGAAGAAATTAGCTAGCTTCCTTAATTAGACCCAAGAAAACATACCATATTTTTCGGAGTATAAAATGCACTTTTTCCCCCCTAAAAGAGGGTGAAAATTTGGGTGCGTCTTATACACCAAATGTAGCCCCACTCGCCCACCGGCCCCCACCCGCCGGCCTCTGCCTCCCAGCAATTTGCCTCCTTGCAGCAAACAGCCCATTTCAGCTTCAGCGCAGCCTGATTAGCACAAGCAGTTGATGGTCAGTTGGATCGGCCTCCTGACCCTCAGCTGTTTCAGGCTGCAGGGATTGCCATTGCCTATTGCCGCATTGGCCTCCGCTGTTTGTTGCAAGGAGGCAAATTGTTGGGAGGCAGATTTTTTTTTCTTGTGCTAATCAGGCTGTGTTGAAGATGAAAATGAAACTAAAGCAGGCTGTTTGCTGTTTGCTGCAAGGAGGCAAATTGCTGGGAGGCAGAGGCAAAAAAATTTTCTTGTGCTAATCAGGCTGTGCTGAAGATGAAAATGAAACTAAAGCAGGCTGTTTGCTGTTTGCTGCAAGGAAGCAAATTGCTGGGAGGGAGAGGCAGTTTTTTTTTCTTGCACTAATCAGGCTGTGGTGAAGATGAAAATGAAACTAAAGCAGGTTGTTTGCTGTTTGTTGGAAGGAGGCAAATTGCTGGGAGGCAGAGGCAGATTTTTTTCCCCTAGTTTTCCTCCCCAAAAAAGGTAGGTGCGCCTTATAGTCCGGAGCATCTTATACTCCGAAAAATACGGTAGCTTTGATTGTATGAAGGAACTCAAATAAAGGTTACACAACAGAGGTTGTGAAAAGTTGAAATTGAGATCTGGAAAGCAATGGATATCATGGAAATTTCAGGATAACCACCATTTGGGTTGATCGACACATATCAATATGCATGTAAAGGAGACCATGGCCTGTTTTCCTGTTCTCTTACATGATTATTTTCATTTATACTCCTTCTCCAGTGCTGTCCTGGGATACTTAGATCATTTTCTTTCTTTTCGTGAGCAAGAAGAAAAGGGCATTAAGTGATTTACACTAAATTTGTGTTTGTATATCCTGTGTCTCTCTGCTCCTGAACATCCCATGTATAACTCTATATTTTTAACGTGTACCTTTCATATGGTATGATGTGCTACAACTACATTTATTAAAAAGATATTTTACCTCGCAGTATTACCTCTTGTTTTCGGTATCGAAGCGGAAATCCTTGTTAATGTTTTTCATGACTATAAAAAAAAAAAGAGGTAGGACCATGCCTTCTTAAAAATCATTAACTTCCATTTCTCCTGCCCTCGAGATCATTCAAGGTGAAGTTTCCTTCAGGATGAACTCAACTCTTGGTGACGTAAGAGATACATCACGCTTACCGTTATTTTCGTGGGTGAGTTTTTCTATTTCCTCAAGCTTTGGATGGGAAGTGAAACGTCTTCAAGGAAAAGCAAAGGAAATCCAGTTGCCTCTTGAAAAAAATATGGCTCTCTGAGTGTTTAAGGTTACCGACCCCTGGACTACTGCAACATCACTCAACACACACACTAGGTGTGTGTGGATACCCCCACACCTAAATTGCTAGTCCCAGTCTAGTAATTTAGGTATACAAGCATGGTTACTAAGAAGTTACTAAGTCTTTTGGGTTCTTTTACCTACCTGTAGAAGCGTGTTCTCAGAAAAAACTCATCT